CTGTTAATTAGCTTTTTCAATTGACTTTTATTGTCACCGTATGCCTAATCGGTTTTAAAGTTCTGTACTATGGCCAATTGTCCAGTCACTGCTGAGCAACACAAAATTGTCCTTATGTAGAAGCAAATCTGGAAAGAAATGTTATTGCCTGGATTCAGCCATTAGGTGAAACCAATGGTGCAACATACAGAAAAAGAACATTACATCAAATAGTAACAGAGAAATAGTATAAATAAGAAAAGAGAAACATAAAAGCTCAGTAAAATACATATTTAAAAAAGTCCCTGAGTTTTAATCAACATTTTAAAGTTTGAACACATTGTATTGATTGCTCTTTCTCCAATATTTATATTAGAAAAACAGGAAAGTATTTGAGGGGTAGCAAATGCATTTCATTTGTCTGTAGCGTTAACTTGGATATGGCATCCTTGTGTTTGTGTTATTATTTCATGCTTTCCTTTTTTTTGCAAGCTCTCTGAGAAGTTACATTTCGAACTGAACAATACCGCATACATATTTTATATCGATCGATGAATATCCGAGTCGATAATGCTCAGTCGGAAATGATTTGTGGCATAGCACAATATTTATTTAACATTTTCAAGAGAAAGAAGCAATGGAATCTTTCCAGATCTATCGTTCAAATGCATTTGAGCTACTCCTGCTATTCCCTGAGGCTATGTCCACACAAGCCACCGTTTATTTATGATGGATGATTGAATAAACCAATGTAACAGGAATGATAGTGTGAACCTGTTAAGTCTCTCATAAGCAACCCCAAAGGTAGTGTAAGATTTCAACCAAAGCCTTCGATTTTTTTCTGCCTTTAAAGATCAACAGTTATTGATATTTGGTTTTCATTCTGCCAGTAAGCTTGGCTTGTATAACACACTCAGCTGCAGAAAAACCACTTACAGAATACCAGGGTTGGAAGGAACCTTGGAGGTCTTCTAGTCCAACCCTCCGCCCCCATCTCAAACAAGAAACTTTCCAGGATTTCTGAATCTTCCCTTCCACTCCATCTTCAGGGCTCTCTACCTCATTGATAATAGCCATAGTGTTTTTGTTAAAGCACCAGAAGGCAGGAGAAGAAGCAATGGATGGCAACTGAACAAGGAGAGAAGCAACCTAGAAATAAGGAAAAATTTTCTGATAGAATTAATTAATTAATCAGTGGGACAACTTGCCTCCTGAAGTTGTGAATGCTCCAACACTGGAAGTTTTTAAGAAGAGATTGCATAATCATTTGTCTGAAGTGGTGTAGGATTTCCTGCCTAAGCAGGGGGCTAGACTAGAAGACCTCTTAGGAGCCCCGTGATTCTAGACCGCACTTCTAGAAGCCCCTTAACAAGACCTTCTTAGGATGGGAGCTAGTCAAATTAGCACATGGGTGGGAAGGAGTTTCCCATCTGGATTCTGTAGTGTGCCTAAGATTAAATATACACCTCAAGATATCTTCTGACTGAGTATTTTAGTAGTAAATACCCGGGGAATTGTGATGGAGGAGGGTGGGAGCAGAGGCAAGATTCCCAGGGGGATAATTGCTAATTGGGGTCAGAATTACTACCAAGGAAAAGCTTCAACCATCGCTTTGTAAGCAGTATTGTCTCCCTGGGCCTTGGAGACTCCTAAAACACAGCAAACATTTTGAATTGTGCAATATTGTTTGGATTTCTTAAAAAAAAAAAAAAAACAGCCTCCACACTTCTGAAACCAGAACTCTAATGCTAGTTGTACAAAAGGATGGCTGTTTAGTGATATGTATATAATCAGATCTTGGTTTACAAGTATTCACCCCTTACAAATGGAGATGATCTGAACATAATTTCATTTTCATGTATGCTGATTGGTGTACATTCAAAGTGACAAAACAGTTATTTTATTCTATGCTATGCTATTCCATGCTATTCTATTCTAAATTTCTATTTCTGTTCTGTTCTAATTCTATTCTATTCCATTCCATTCCATGCTATTCTATTCTAAACTTCTATTTCTATTCTATTCTATTTTCTATTCCATTCCATTCTATTCCATTCCATTCTATTCTATTCTAAACTTCTATTTCTATTCTATTCTATTTTCTATTCAATTCCATTCTATTCTATTCTAAACTTCTATTTCTATTCTATTCTATTTTCTATTCAATTCCATTCCATTCCATGCTATTCTATTCTAAACTTCTATTTCTATTCCATTCTATTTTCTATTCCATTCCATGCTATTCTATTCTAAAGTTCCATTTCTATTCCTATTCTGAGTGGGTGGGGCCAGCCGGTTGGTTGAAATACTGGTTCGGCGAACCAGATGAAAACTTAACATTCGGTTTGCCTGAACCGGTCCAAACCAGTAGAATCCCACTCCTGCATTTGCAGGAAGCAATGGTCATGGCAGTGTTGGGATTCAAAATTTTTACTACTGGTTCTGTGGGCATGGCTTGGTAGGTTTGGCAGGGGAAGGATACTGCAAAATCCCCATTCCCTCCCCACCCCACTAACCTGCTTTCCAGCTCCGTTCTCCTGTGCAGGGCAACCAAAGAAGAGCCAGCCGATCAGCTGGGACTCAATGGGAGGCAGAGAAGAGATGGGGTTGGCGGGGCCAGTCAGAGGCGGGATTTGCCGGTTGTCTGAATTACCCCAAATTTCCGCTACTGGTTCTCCAGAATTGGTCAGAACCTGCTGAATACTGCCTCTGGGTTATGGATTCCTTGATTGGCTCTTAAACGTCTTCTCTTAACCCACCCCTACTTTAAAAAAATAATTTATTTAAAAAGAAAAAAACCAGAATGCAGATGCTTCCTGACCTCTGTAGCCACAGGACCTGGCCATGAAAATGGCTTTATTAAACTTCCCTGCTTTTCATATGGCTCAGGCCATTTAAGCTCCTTTAACTAGCCCCTGGAGGATCTTCAACTATCTCGTAACGGCCATGGGTGTTGAATATTGCAAGTGTGCCAGAGGTCTACAAATAGATTCTTTTGCAAAACTAAAGGGCTGCAGATGTGCCGCGCAACAAATTTATTAGTGGGGATGTTTGTTGCACAGCAAGGCAGCGCTGGTTGCTTTTTTCAAGTTTCTAGCACTCAGGACTTGGGTTTGGTTGGATTGTGTCCATTGTCCCTCCTGTCAGGAAATTTCTCCTTGTGATGACCCAAAGGGGCGTGTGATGACCCAAAGGGGCGTGGCACAAAGGCAACACAGTCAGATAATCAGTAGGAGTCCCTTTATTAGCTCCAACTTGGCCCCCAATGTCCTGGTTACCTGCTGGGTTGGAGAAAAAAAACTCTCCCAGGAACAGCCAAGTCCAAAACGTGGTCAACAAAAACTGTAACTATAAGTCCAATCAAGGGAAAATGAGGTAATTAGTTTGGGAGGGCAGGAGAAGGAATTCCAGACAGTGAAGGAACAGCCATAACTCAACACGGTTGGGAGGATACCAGGAACACAGATATGTGTTTCCCCATTGACTTTGGTTGTCATTTGACCAGGATGGTATACGGTCTCCAGCCTTGAGCGGAGGGGGAGGGGGGGTTGGACTAGATGACCTCCAAGGTCCCTTCCAACTCTTCTACCTTACCTAGCGCAAGGCAGAGAGTCCTGAAAACGAACCTTCCAATGAAACTGGAATTATTTTTTTTTCTTATTAAGGACTAATGGACACTCATAATACAAAAGGCTGACGGACGATTGGTTTTATATATCGTAAGATGCGCGAGGCCGTTATACGCACACAGATGGAAAACTGCAGAAAGACCCATCAATGGAGGCATGGACTGCGAAAGACGGCTGAGTTTCCCGAAATGGCTAAGTGGACTTCTTTGATTAAGGAGAGAAACTACAATTACTTTTTATTTTTATTTTAAAAGAAACTGGAAACACTTTGCAGACTTTTTTCTTTTTCTGGAAATGGATAAAAACGAACCCATTTCAGGATTTATTGATGAAAAAGGACCGTTTATGGGAAGAAGGGAACGATAATGGGCGAGATGGGAAGGAAAAGATGCTAACTGCTCTGCGTGTAGATGGATTTTTCTCTTTTATTACTCACTCTTTGCCTTTTTTTTAGAATTTCCTTTCCTGTGTCTTCTTCTCCTACAGGTAATCCTCCACTTACGACCACAACTGAGCCCAAAATGTAGGTTGCTAAGTGAGAAATTTGATAGAGTTTTGTCTCCATTTTAAGACTTTTCTTGCCACCGTTTTTAAGTGAATCACCGCGCTCAGTAAATGATTAACCTAGTTGTTGAGTGAATCGGGCTTCTCCATTGGACTTTGCTTTGCAAAAAGGGAATGCGTGACCTTGGGACAACGGTCATAAGTATGAAACGGTTGCCAAGCCTCTGAATTTTGACCGTGGGGATACCTGCAACGGTCGTAAGTGTGAAAAATGGTCCTAACTCGCTTTCCGCCCCACCGTGGTAACTTCGAACGGTCACTAAATGGAACTGTTATAAGTTAAGGACTATGTGCTAGTTTCTGTTATAAGTTAAGGACTATGTGCTTTTTCTTTTAAAAATCTTCATCAAATCTTCGTTTACTAAAAAAAAAAAATATGCACAAAAATAAAGTGACTAAAGGGACGAGAATGATAGTACAAGAAGTCCTGGGCTTACAACCATTCATTTAGCGACCGTTCCAAGTTACAACGGCATGGGAAAAAGCAACTTATGACCGTTTTTCACACTTACTGTCAACTCATAAAACATTCCTATGTGTCAGTTTTGGAAGCCATTTTGTGACCAGATGCTCCCACGATGCCACATTTGAAATGAATGATGTATCTCAGTGTTGGCTGCATCCAGGTAACGTTGACATGGTCACTCCTAATAAATCAATTTTCGATTCTCTGAGAGATGCAGCTAGAGACTTACGATTGGAATGGGGGTGTTGGATTTGTTGGAGCCCTGACACGTTTAACCCAGATGGCACAAGAAAAACTTATAAAAAGAGAGAGAGAGAGAGAATAAAGCAGGAGAAAGGAAAAGAGCTCATATCACGGCTTAAGAAAATATCTCTTTTTTAATTCACATATTTACAGTGTAATAATACAAGTCAATGTGGCATCATGCCGACTGTGGGCTTACCTATGTGTGTTGGAAAAAAATAATACATATATATATATATATATATAGAAAGGTGAAACCTTGGCATTTTCATGATTCAGGCTGCAGAGTTAGACAAGAAGAAGGATGCACATTACAACCTACAAGAAACAGTGAAGTGCCTAGAATCCCATAACCTGGCTTGAGGTTGGCTGTGTTTTTCCACTCCAGCAGGTGCAAGTGAGGTGCCCATGTCTCCCCCCTCTGGGATCTCTGTGTGTGCCTTACATATAGGATGTCAACCCTCCCGGGGTTCGTTCGGAGTCCGTAGCAGCAGGGGAGCAGAAAACATCTCTGTCCTCCGGACACGCACACCCCCCCAAATTCATTGCAACATTCTCCGGGTGAGAGAGGAGGGGAGAGCGAGGGAAGGAGGGAACGACGATGTCAGAGTTGATTCCTTTTGTTCTTCTGGAGCGTCCAGCAAATGCTGCATGTAACAGGAAGTGCCCAGCAGGATGTGTCCCGTGGCTTGCATGGTGAAAAGGGTCCAGCGGAGAGCTTCCCTGAGAAAAACAGAAGAAATTGGGGTGGTGGGGGGGAGGGAGAGAGAGAGATGGTCAGGGAGCAAGAAGGGCATCTAGACGGTCTACAGTAAGAGTTTAAGGTTCTCTTTGAACCCCGAGCTAGCAAATTTCAACTCTTGGTTATTATTTAAATGTCAACTCGTAAAACATTCCTATGCCTGTTTCCAAGTTGCCATAAGCGGGGGGGGGGGGGACATGAAGGAGCAGATTGCCAGTTAAAACCAGAAGTGCTGTCATGCCCCTGTCGGAATCTGAATCCGAGGAGGAAGTTGAACAGCTGACAGGGAGTGGGAGTGTGGCTCCATTGGCTGTGGAGGAAACGGGAAGGGCGAAGTCCGGCTGGGCAGAGCAGGGAAGAGGTAGAACAAGGGAGAGGGAGTTCAGAGGAAGACTCAGCCCCACCCTCTCTTCATCCTAGGGCATGCAGGGATGAACGGAGAAGAGAGCAATGTGGGTTGCATGGCTTACAGGGGAGGAAAGGGCCCTGATTCCCTTCATTAGCCACAGCTGGGAATGAGAGTTTAAAAGAGATGCATGCTGAGAGCGGTGGCTGCTGAGAACAAACATGAGTTTATCTTATGTTGACTTTTGTTATCTGTGTCCCTGACATCCTTCCCAACCATGTTGAATTACTGCTGTTCCTTCACATCTGGAATTCCTTTTTCTGCCCTTCCGGACTAATTACCTCATCTTGCCTTGTTTGGAGTTTAAGTTACAGTTTTTGTTGACCATGTTTTGGACTTGATTCTCTGCAGCCAAAGGCTGTTCCTGGAAGAGTTTTTCTCCAAGCCAGAAAGTAATCAGGACATTTGGGGGCAAAGTTGGAGCTAATAAAGGGACTCTTATTGATTATCTAACTGTGTGGCCTTTGTGCCACGCCCCTTTGGGTCATCACAAGTGCTTTCCACGCTTATCTTAAAAAGATTGTAGCCCAGGCACCGTACCTACTGCCCATGAAAATCCTTCATTGGAGCAAATTGTGGGTGAATCCCAAAAGGATTATTAATGGCAAATGATTATGGGAAGGGCCAACCCAGGGAGACCCAAGGACTTACTTTACCATCCTTTTTGCGCCATAGCATTGCATATCATAGGACATGCTGTAGGTCCCATAGAGCGTAGCCTTGATGTTCAAAGAGCCAAGGAAATCCTGGGGATTGGTCTTGTACAGGTCGAATGTGATACGGGCCACGTCAATATGACGGCGAGGCTTGTGGGACAGCGAGAGCTGGTAGCCGGCTTTCTGGGGACAAAAGAAATGGGGGGGAAAAAAGAACTTTAATGGGAGTCTAACAAACAGAAACAATCGGGGGCACATGATAGCGGTCTTCCAATATTCGAGGGGCTGCCCCAAAGGAGAGGGAGTCAAGCTAGTTTCCAAAGCACCTGAAGGCAGGACAAGAAGCAACAGGTGGAAACTAATCAAGGGGAGAAGCCAACTTGGAATTAAGGAGAAACTTCCTAACCGTGAGGACCATTGACCAGTGGAACAGCTTGCCACCAGAAGTTGTGGGTGCTCCCAACGCTGGAGGTTTTTAAGAAGAGACCTGTCTGAAAGGGTCTAGGGTCTCCTGCTTGAGCAAGGGGCTGGATTAGAAGACCTTCCAAGGCCCTCCCAACTTTGTTATGCCGTATTCTGTAACTGGAATTGAACAGAGTCTGTGCATCCAAGTTTTGCACAGCTTCCCCTTCCAGTGTGTTGCTCTCGGTATCGCTTTTCGGGATTCTAGTCCTCACAATTCAAGAACAATGGATTCCTGGCTGGCATTCGTAGCCAAGAGAGAAAAATCTGTTGTATGAGAGACAAAAGCATCTCTCTCTCTTAACCTAACCCTGAGAGTTATCCATTTCAGCGCTACGTGTTCCATTTCCTTTTCTTTAATACGGTTCGCTGGGAATTGCCTTTATCGCGATGACACTTATTGAAACTGCCCTTTCCTTCCCTGATCATAGGGAGCTTTACAAGCAGAAGAATAAAACGCTCCAGCATTTTAAAAAAAATCAACTTTCAAATGTTTCATTTCCATAAAACCAATAGGGAGGGTGTCGGGTTTTTTTTGCTTTTCAGACAGGATTCCGGTTGGCCATCCTTCGCATCACAAGAGCTGAGCAATCTAGCAAGAGCATCCTTGGTTAAGTTCACACAACCTCATGACTCAAATTAACTCATTTGTGATGTGTGCAGAACAAACACCATATGGGATGGGCGGCTATAGACCGTTACCAAATCAATAAATTAAATTAAAAATAAACCCGCTGACTTTTGGAAATGCCCAATCCAATTGGACAGCTTTATCCTAGTGAGCCACTTCCATCTTGTGGCTGTCCTTCTCTACCTAGCTAGCCAATGGTGGTTTATTCAAGAAGCCATGGTTAAACCCAACAGCTGAGGGCTTCCAACCTAGATGGTGATGACCATTCTTGGTAGGAAGCCAAGCCAATGTTAGCTTATTCAAGAAGCCATGGTTAAACCCAACAGCTGAGGGCTTCCAACCTAAATGGGGATGACCATCCCTGGGAGGAAACCAAACCGATGGTGGCTTATTCAAGAAGCCATGGTTAAACCCAACAGACAAGTGGAGGAAGCAGATGCCCGTGCTTCTAATCTAACCAGATGATAGTATGTTCTTGAAAGGAAGATTATGAAATATTTCCTGTCTTAAGTCTTCAGTCTGGCTCCTCACCTTAGCTGGACGCCACACCTGTTCCTCAGTTAAGGCCAGCAATACCGTTCCCTCTTCCAGAGTTTGGAAAAATTCCTCCGAATCTATGCTGGTGCCATCTTCGTCCAAGACAAGGGAGAGGGACCCCACTAAGTCCAGAGCAGTTCGTACCTGTGGCAATAAATTAGATCGGATACCTTGCCATTCCAGACAACCTAGGAATCAGGGTTTGTTAACAAGGGAGCATCTCTTGACCAAGCTGGCTTAGAAAGGAAGCTTTGACACTAATCGTTTGTCTTTGGATGAGGCAATGAGAGGCCCATTGGTCTCCATTTAAAAAAAAAACATGAGATGGCATTCTGAAAGATTTAACACTGATGGTGTTCCCTAGTTGGGTGATGAAATGTCTGCAAGAAAGCCACCTAGTTCAGAGAGCACCAAGGACCCAACAGCTCTTCCCTCCGTCCCTCCCTCCCTCTCCTCCTCCTCCTCCTCCTTTCCCCCCTTCTAGCACTGATGATGTTCCCTAGTTGGGTAATGAAACGTCTTCAAGAAAACAACCAAGCCCAGAGACCACCAAGGATCCCACAGCCCTCCTCCTCCTCCCTCCTTCTATCACAGATATTGTTGCCTATTTGGGTCATGAAACCTCTGCAAAAAAAACCACCAAGGATCCCATAGTCTTTCTCCTTCTCCTCCTCCTCCTCCTCCACCTCACAAACCCCACTCCCTTCTGATACTGATGATACTACCTAATTGGGTCATGAAACGTCTCCAAGAAAACCCACCAAGCTCAGAGAGCCCTAAAGACTCCATAATTCAACCCTGAGCTACTACATCCGGAAAGACTTTTAACTTTTTAATATTGTGGTGGAAAGTCTGTTGTGCCCAGAATTTGCCTGTTTCCTCCGCTTACTTTCTCAAGCAGGTCATTCAGCGTCTCTGCCACGATGCCTTTCCGCAGGGTGCGCTCACAGTTGTTCACGCGGTAGGGCCTTGGACGGGGAGCAGGGCCAGCCAGCAGCTGCTGGGTGACGGAAGCACTGGCCGACACACATCTGGAAGAAGGGAAAACATCATTTGAGGGAGGGGAAGGATAAAAATGCCAATTGGGCATTTAGTCGTTGGCAGCATTTCAAGGACAATAAAGGTGTGTGCTTATCGGACTTATCCCGAAGGACTTTGGCAGACTTCCGTGGGACTATTTACAAACAGTTTCAGACTCCTTATGGGCTGCAAATGACTAAAATTCACCGCCATTGAAATAAAGAAAAGAAAAAAGGGTTTTGGGACTAACGGGTGTTTGTTAGTGTCTCCATCAGTCTTGGTCAGAACAACTACCTACATTTCTTTCTGAAGGAACGGAAAGAGGCTGAAAATAGGCAGAAAATCCAAAATATCCGTCATTCAAGGCGAGGAGACAGGGTGGAAGAGACTGTCGCTGCTTATCTACCGATACTTACTTGGAAAGTGATCGGGGGCTGAGAAGACCCAGCGATTTCTTTGCATAATCCATCAGGCTGCAAGAGGGTAGGATTCCAGGCTGTAGGAGAAGAGAAAACTGGGTTAAGTTGTGTCATTTTCTTAATTCATGTCTTTTTAAGAAAGTGACACCTTGATGGATGGGGCAGCTAGATAAAGAGGAGGCCTGGAGATTATGGATTTCGTGCCTTTATTTTTCTTTCTTTTCTTCCTTTCGTGCTTCTTTCCTTTTTCTTTCTGATTTTTTTTCAAATACTTCCCTGCATCTGAGCAAGCGAGCAAAAATTGCTTTATCTATACCCTTTTTCTACTAAAGAGAGAACTCCATGCACGGGGAGAGGTTTTAGCAAACCATAGGGTCGGGAGGGACCTTGGAGGTCTTTTAGTCCAACCCCCTGCCTAGGCAGGAAACCCTACACTACTTCAGACAAATGGATATCCAATCTCTTCTTGAAAACTTCCAGTGTTGGAGCATTTACAACTTCCGGAGGCAAGTGGTTCCACTGGTTAATTGTTCTCCCTGTCAGGAAATTTCTCCATAGGGAAGGTTCTATCCATTGCTTCTTGTTCTGCCTTTAGGCTCTTTGGACATCAAAGTGCATAGAATAACAGAGTTGGAAGGTACCTTGGAGGTCATCTAGTCCAATCCCCCCTCCCCGCCCAAGCAGGAGACCCTACACCATTTCTGACAGAGGGCAGTCCAGTCTCTTCTTAAAAGCTTCTGGAGATGGAGCACCCACACCTTCTGAAGGCAAGCTGTCCCACTGAATATAGAATAACAGAGTTGGAAGGGACCTTGGAGGTCATCTAGTCCAACCCCCCTCCCTGCCCAAGCAGGAGACCCTACACCATTTCTGACAGAGGGCAGTCCAGTCTCTTCTTGAAAGCCTCCAGGGATGAAGCTCCCACAACTTCTGGAGGCAACTTTTGTTCCACTGGTTGATTGTTCTCCCTGTCAGAAAGTTTCTCCTTATTTCCAGGTTGAATCTCTCCTTGATCAGTTTCCACCCATTATTCCTTGTCTGGCCTTCGGGTGCCTTGGAGAATAGCTTGACCCCCCTCCTCCTCTCAAATATTGGAAGGCTGCTATCATTTATCAAAAAACAGATTGAGAAGAGCTGCGAGATAAGATTTTCAGCCTCTGGAGGGACCACAGTCTCTCCTTAAGAGAATAACAAAGTTGGAAGGGACCTTGTAGGTCATCTAGTCCACCCCCCTGCCCAAGCAGGAGACCCTACACCATTTCTGACAGAGGGCAGTCCAGTCTCTTCTTGAAATCCTCCAGGGATGAAGCTCCCACAACCTCCGAAGGCAACTTCTGTTCCAGGGGTTGATTGATTCTCACCCAACTCTCTTCTCTTGTGATAGCTCCTCAAATACGAGAAGACCGCTCTCCTGCCTCCCCTAATCCTTCTCTTCAATCCAAGTTGAGTTCTCCTGCCCATCCGTCTGAAGGAGCCCCTTCCCCTTTCTCCACGTCCCTCTTTCCCCTTCCCAGGCAGGACCCACCGCCTCAAACTTTCCCCTCCCCCCTTTGCAAAAGAAACTCCACTTGCCTTTCCGCCCGATCCGCTAATCCTGATTTCTCTTCCGCTTGCTTGGCTGACGTGCCTCTGGCTTTATAAGAGCCCAGCCCTCGGCCGCCCTTTGGACAGAGAAGGGAAGGGAAGGGGGAGCCAGTAACCACAAGGGTTAGGCAAGGTGCCAACGCCCCCGCCAGGCGGTTGCGTCAGGCAGGGTGAGATGGCGGGGTGAGATCGGTGAACGCTTGGAGGCTCTTGGGGAATTGGGTCAAAGGAAGATTTCCTGACACCACCTCCCAAGGCAGAAACATTCCCAGATTTCAGGCTGTCCCAAAAGCTTGGACGCCAGGTGGGTTGGGCTAAAAATGACTGATCCTAGGTCACCCAGCTGGCTTTCATGGCTAGGGAAGAACTAGAACTCACCACCTCCTGGCAATTGTCTCAAAGTCACCCGGTTGGCTTTCATCATGCTAAAGGGAGACTAGAACTCACCATCTCCTCGTGATTGGCCCAAAGTCACCCAGCTGGCTTTCATAGCTAAGGGGAGACTAGAACTCACTGTCTCCTGGTGATGGACCTAAAGTCACCCAGTTGGCTTTCATCATGCTAAAGAGAGACTAGAACTCCCATCTCCTAGTGATTGATTCAAAGTCACCCAGCTGGCTTTCATGCTAAGGGGAGACTAGAACTCACAATCTCATGGCAATTGGCCCAAAGTCACCCAGCTGGCTTTCATGCCTAAGATGGTACTAGAACTCACTGTCTCCTGGTGATAAACCTAAAGTCACCCAGCTGGCTTTCATAGCTAAGCTAAGACTAGAACTCATGGTCCCCTACATTTGAGCCTGGAGCCTTAACCACTAGACCAAATATTTTTTTTTCCACCTAAGAGTTTGTTTTCTGTGCATAGCCTTCAGCCTCTCCACCCCCCGTGAAGAGGTCTTACACAAAATGCTCTCTTTTGTAGCCGTTGCAGGTTCCGTTTGCAAAACCGACGCTGTTTGCGAGAACAAACCCAGCAAGAGATGTTTAGTATTATGGGATGTCACAAGGGACAACTTGGCTTTGTTACACAACAATGTCCAAGATATGTGTGAGCCTTTTTCTTCCTGCTGGCAAGCTTGCCATGAACTCTGGACTCTTCACCTTTGGCCAGATGTTGTCACTCCAAGAGACACAGGCCAACATTCTCAGTTAATGGACTCTGATGCAACAGAGCTTCTATCTCAGGAATTTTGAATCTCAGCTCTTAGGACTTAACTCTACCTTGCTCGGTTCTAAGAAACTCTGAAGGGAGGGGAAATCTATTTCAGGGAGTGAATGCAATCATTTATTTATTTGTCAGTGGTTTGCTTTTGTTCAAACACAAATCCTGGATACAAATTTAATTTTTGAGCAGTGCTGCGGGCACAATATTGCAAAAAAGCAAAAGCAAAAAGCAATTGTAAACCCATCCAGATGGGATTGGCTACAGTGGACTAAAATTGAGTAAATAAATTAAAGCAAGTTTCTGTTGCCTTATGGGGAACCAGTTATTCCATTCACACCCGTTTTCAATGGTTATGTAGAGTTTTTAATTAGCCATGATAGTGAGACTTGAGGGCAGGGTGAACTATACAAATCAGATTCCTAATAAAATTGGTTGAGCTTCTACATCATGCTTTCCCCTAAATTGACAAACAAACAAACAAACAAAAAAAGCAATGTTCACATAACATACTATGCACAATAAATAAACCAGGTTAGGGCTCATACAATATGCTAAGCCTTGGAAGTGGGACATACTTCTAATATATTCTACGGCTAGCAGGATTCCCATAACACTGACAGAAGGAATAGTTTAGAAGTAACACCTGGCTTCAACAAACCATGCTAAAGCAAAGCCAAAGCAGCCGTTTGTTTGGCCTTGCAACAAGCCATGTTTAAAGCCACAGGAAAAAAACATGGTTGAAACAAAACCATGGTTAGAACAAAAACCATGGCTAGACCAAAACCATGGTTAGAACAAAACCACAGTTAGAATAAAACCATGGTTAGAACCAGGCCTTGTAGCAAAGGGAAAGAAAGTAGCTTACCCACAACCCTAGGCTTATCAACAATGCTGTTTCAAGGTCCAAAATTGTGATACATTAATTCACAGCCAGGTAACTTATTAATCGTACTTAGTTGGTTGAATTGAATCATAAACTAAGTAAACGGACTATATGCCACAATTCAATCACCCCCCTCCCAAAACTAACACTCAAAACTTAAAATCAGGGAAGGGCAGCAGGAGGAGGGAGTAAAGAGTTAAAATGTCACCCATTCCCATTCGATTAAAAACCCAACACCCATTTTTACATGCACTACAACTCATGGAAGAAGAAAGGCAGAGTTGTGTGTTTACAGCTGCCATCTTGACTTCTCCATCCTATCTACCATGGAGTTAGGGGCTCCCATCCCCAACCTAACTTCATGCACATTTCCTTGGCGAGTTTGGGCCGGTCGTCGTTCCCCCCCCCCCACTTTCTCAGTCCAACTGGGCTAGCTGGCAATGGCAGGAATAAAACTGGAGGCCAGAATGCTGTCCAGTTTTTGGTGCCAAAGCAAAATACGTCCCAAATGACTCAAATAAAGAAGGAGCTAACTGCTTGGCACTTGGGCAAATGCCCCTGGCACAGCTTTCCTTAACCCAGCCAAGCATATGGTGCAAATATGGTGAGACTTTGGGAAGATCCGGAGAAGAGTGACAAAGAAGATTGTGAGGGGCTCAAGGCTAAAACATGCGAAGAACGCTTGCAGGAATTGAGTTTGTTTGTGGAAAGAAGAATTGTGGGTGTGGTGGGGGACAGGATAGCAGTGTTTCAAGATTGGAGGGGCCGCCACAAAGAAGAAGGAGGGGCCAATTTATTTTCCAAAAACCCCCGAAGGCAAAGCCAAGGAGCAACGGATGGAAACCAACCAAGGAGAGAAGCAACCTGAGAACTAAGGAGGAATTTCCCAGCGAGAACAATTCATGGGTGGGAAGGAATCGTGGCTGCTCCAACATTGGAGAGTTTGAAGAAGAGATTGGCTGAAATGGTGTAGGAGGTTGGACTTTAAGACCTCCAAGGTCCCTTCCAACTCTGTTAAACGGGGAATGAAAAGGCCAAAGTCATCGATATCCAGCCTTCTCACCATTTTGTCTCCTTACCTCCTTTCTCACTTACCAAGCAGCTGCAGCAACCCCCCCACTTGGTTGGTTTTTTTTTTCAGGACTGCAAATGCTCTGCTTTTATAGCTGGACAGCCCCTCCCTCAGCTCCTCCCCCTCTTCCCCTCCCCTCAATCACCTTTCCCAGCCGTCCTAATCAGGGGAAGCGATGGAACTGCTCTATCCCGCCCTAGCGAGACCACGCCTGGAATACGGCATCCAGTTGTTGAAACTGCTGCCTTGCTCTTCCAGATTTCCTTCCTCTCTCTCTCTCCCCCCCCTCCCCCACCTTTTTATGGCAACTACTAAAACAGGCACAGGAATGTTTTATGACATTATTGACAGCCCCCTTGTACAACTTTCCCTGCCCCCACCCCCGTCGTTAAAGAAATCACTGCCGTTGTTGCATGAGGAACAACGATCGTTTGGTGAATTTGGCTTCCCATTTGATTTGACTTGTCAGAAGGTTCAACAAAAGGGGACGACCACGTGACTCTGGGAAACTGCAACCGTCATAACTAGGAGTCAATTCCAAGCCTCTGAATTTTGGTCATGTGACGACGGGGCTGCTGCAATTGCCCTAAGTGTGAAAAATGGCCATAAGTCATTTTTCAACGTTCACTAAATGTTGTAAGTCGGGGACTGCCTTTATAGGGCAGAAATGCAGCTTCTCTTATACTATGCAGCCCAAGCTGCTATTGAACACCTCTGAAAATATCTCTGGGAAAGAGCTGTCAGCTGTAAATCTACCTGAAGGCAGTTCTTTTTCTTTCCTTTCCCAACTAGCCTCCCACCCCAAGGCTATATAAGAAATGATAAAGAGGCTTTTCCTTCATGTTTCATCTCCAAGAACTGTTTTTTTTTCCCCCTGCGGTTTTCTTGGCAGCTTTGCAAAAAGCTATTTCTTTTCCTTTCTCAGGGAGTTTGTTCAACTTTCCAGTTTAATCAAGGGCCCCGGGGATATCCAGGGAGATCTCCATCCAAACGCCAGCCGAGGCTGACCATGCTTAGCTTTTGAGATCAGCCGAGCATTGAGAACAGCAGCAAAGGGGCAATGAAATCAGTCGATCGGAATAGAGCTGGAAGTTTGGAGACCCCTGATATAGAAGAACATTTCAGTATACAGGGACATTTGGATGCTCTGAGCTTCTGCATAGCACAGCATAGAAATAGAACTTTAGAATAGAATAGCATGGAATGGAATAGAATAGAACAGAACAGAACAGAACAGAATAGAATGACTATTAGAATAAAATAGAAATAGAAATTTAGAATAGAATAGAAGAGAAGAGAATAGAATAGAATAGAATAGAATAGAATAGAATAGAATAGAATAGAATAGAGCTGAAAGGGAATTTGGAGGTCATCTAGTCCAACCCCCTGCTCAAGCAGGAGACCCTGTAGTAATTCAGATACCAATTCAGTCTCTACTTAAAAACCCCCAGTGATGAAGCACCCACAGCTTCTGGTGGCAAGCTGTTCCACTGGTTAATTGTTAGGAAGTTTCTCCCTAACTCCAGAATGCTTCTCTCCTGGATAAGTTTCCATCCATTGTTTCTTGTCCTGCCTTCTGGACCTTTGGGTGGGGGGAGGGAATCAGGCTCAGTCATAGACGAAGCAAATAAAGCCATGAAAAGTCATATCGTCTAAAATACTCAGATCAAAAACAAATTGACTTCCAGTGTTTTATTCTCTCTCTCTCTTTCCCAATCTTGGCACCTTCAAGATTTGGAGGCTAGGGAATTCTGGGGAGTTGAAATCCACAAGTGTTAAAGTTGCCCAGGTTGGACACCCCTTGCCTACAATGACATCATCCCTTCACATCCCATGGCTCGTTTAACAGCTGTGGCAATTCACTTAACAATGGTGGCAAAATGGTCACAACATCGGATGTGATGCCTTTAGATTTC